CACCACCCTGCTCTGAGCCTCTTCTGTGAACTAAGGAATTGGGTGTGAGGATTGAAACTGCCAGGCCAGGAGGATGGGGCTGTGATGCTGGCTGACTAAAGCTGGGCTTGGAGGGGACCCTAGCGGCGGGGTGTGGGGGGAGTCACCCTGGCACCTGGCTCCAACCTCCAGTGCACGTTCGTGCTGGAGAGGCAGATGAGGTGCTGACCCCCATCGCTCCCGGGAGGGAGGCTGTCCCAGGACAGGTAGCCTCTCTACTTTGCAAAGGAGAGCGGGAGGGGCAGGGAGGCGCGGTGGCTTGTGCATGGCCGCCCAGCTAAGACCCTGGGTGCCTGGGCTGCGGGGCGCAGGCTCCTTCCTCCACACCCCACTTCCTCCGCCTCTGTTTCTCTCTCACACAGACGCACAGAACTACGTATATACGCGAGGGAGCTGCGGGGCTGCCGGGGCTGTGATGGGCCCATGTGCGTGTGTAATGGTGTGCGTGTTGGCGGGTGTGAAGGAGGCTGGGCTGAACGGCTGCCCTGGCACAGCGCGCTGGGCGTGGGCCTCCCTCACTCGGAGGGAGAGGAGGTGGGGGGGACGCGAAGAGGCTTCAGGGAGAGGCCGCATGCTTGGGGGCTTCCGGCTAGGGCGCGCGGTGTGCACCGGTGAGTGAGGGGCACCCTTGGGGGCTGGCCACGGGCGCCCCTGCTGCAGCCCCTCTGGGCCACTCACTCCCCCTTCGGGTTCCCATCAGGCAGTGGCCCCCGGGAAGCCCTGGGAGTCTGGCCTCAGTGGATGGGCCCTTTCGGCTTCTGACTCTTCACAGGCAGACCCCAGCTACCCTTGCACTGCACCCCCATGCCCTGGGAATGGGGGAGTGTTCCCGGAGGGGCTGCCACAGGGGCATTGTCCCCTCCTCATTGAACTTCCGGTTCCATGCCACCTGTTCCATGATCACGTCAGGTCACCTCTGGGACCTCTGGCTCCTGTGGCTCTTTGGGCCTCCCTCTGCCAGACCCCTTAGCTCTGGGACAGCAACATGAGCGGCAGGAGCTAGGAACTCTGGGCAGGTTACAGCCTTGGATTCTTCATCTGTTAGAAAGAAATAACAATGTCCGAGACTTCCCTGGCAGTCCAGTGGGTTAAGACTGCATGCTTCCACTGCAGGGGGTGCGGATTTGGTCCCTGGTCAGGGAACTAAGATTCTGCATGCCGCACCCCACTACCAATAAACAAATAAATAACAGCGCCCACTTCCTAGGTTTGTTGTGAGGATGAAATGGATGAATACTTGCAGAAAGCATGGAAGGTGCTTGGTAAACAATGCATGTTAGCTGATAGTATATATTCTTGCCTTTGTCCCCAGTGCCTTCTGTAGGGATTAGTGGGCAAGTCCCGCCGCAACATTTGGTTAAGAAGTGACCAAGTTCAAGAGGGAGGGGACATACGTGTACCTAATGCTGATTCGTGTTGATGGATAGCAAAAAACTAGCACAATATTGTAATTATCCTCTAATTTAAAAAATATTTAAAAATCTAAAAAAATAAAAGAAGTGACAAAGTGGGTGAATGAAGGAATACCCCTGACCTGAGCCACATGCTGAAGTCGGGGACCACCCTTGCCCGCACCCCTCCACCCACACTGGCCTTCTGTCCATACCTTGCACATGACTCCCAGCCTCAGCTCCGCCATTGCCCTCTCTGAGGCCACTCTCTGCAGCTCTGACTGCCCATCCCCTCTCTGACTCATTCTCTGTCACCTGCCCTAGTTTTCGTTCTAGCGCTTTTTCATTGCTCATGTGTTTGTATGTCTCCCCCGATCGGGATGTGAGCTCAGTGAGAGTGGGGGGCCGTGTGTGTCTCCTTCACGTCTGTAGCCCCAGCGCCTACAACAGCGCTTGCACAGAGTTCAGTTCAGTTCAGTCGCTCAGTCGTGTCCGACTCTTTGCAACCCCATGGACCGCAGCGCACCAGGCCTCCCTGTCCATCACCAACTCCTGGAGTTTACCCAAACTCATGTCCATTGAGTCGGTGATGCCATCCAAGCATCTCATCCTCTGTCATCCTCTTGCAAAGAGTAGGCACCCAATAAACGCCCTGTGAGCGGAGACAGGAGGAAGTGATGGGACTGGGTTCTCTCAAGTCCTGCAGGACGATGTTGCTCCTCTGTCGCCTTGACTCCAGGGCACCCCACCTCACGCCTCTCATACAATTCACCCCCTTCCTCTCTCGTTCCAGACACTATCGGCCCATTGCTGCTAACCAAAATGGCTAACTTCACCCCAATCAACGGCAGCTCGGGCAACCAGTCTGTGCGCCTGGTCACGTCAACCCATAACCGTTATGAGACGGTGGAGATGGTGTTCATCGCCACGGTGACGGGCTCCCTGAGCCTGGTGACGGTCGTGGGCAACATCCTGGTGATGCTGTCCATAAAGGTCAACAGGCAGCTGCAGACGGTCAACAACTACTTCCTCTTCAGCCTGGCCTGTGCCGATCTCATCATAGGCGCCTTCTCCATGAACCTGTACACCGTGTACATCATCAAGGGCTACTGGCCCCTGGGCGCCGTGGTCTGTGACCTGTGGCTGGCCTTGGACTACGTGGTGAGCAATGCCTCTGTCATGAACCTGCTCATCATCAGCTTTGACCGGTACTTCTGCGTCACCAAGCCTCTCACCTATCCGGCCCGGCGCACCACCAAGATGGCGGGCCTGATGATCGCAGCCGCCTGGGTCCTGTCCTTCGTGCTCTGGGCGCCTGCCATCTTGTTCTGGCAGTTTGTGGTGGGCAAGCGGACGGTGCCCGACAACCAGTGCTTCATCCAGTTCCTGTCCAACCCCGCGGTGACCTTCGGCACGGCCATCGCTGCCTTCTACCTGCCCGTGGTCATCATGACGGTGCTGTATGTCCACATCTCCCTGGCCAGTCGCAGCCGAGTTCATAAGCACCGGCCCGAAGGCCCAAAGGAGAAGAAGGCCAAGACCCTGGCCTTCCTCAAGAGCCCCCTGATGAAGCAGAGCGTCAAGAAACCGCCGCCCCCGGGAGACGCCGCCGCTCGGGCCGAGCTGCGCAACGGGAAGCTAGAGGAGGCCCCTCCGCCCGCGCTGCCGCCCCCGCCACGCCCCGTGGCCGACAAGGACACCTCCAATGAGTCCAGCTCGGGCAGCGCCACCCAAAACACCAAGGAGCGCCCGCCCACAGAGCTGTCCACCACAGAGGCCACCACGCCGGCCACACCTGCACCCCACCTCCAGCCACGGACCCTCAACCCGGCCTCCAGATGGTCCAAGATCCAGATTGTGACGAAGCAGACGGGCAACGAGTGCGTGACGGCCATCGAGATCGTGCCTGCCACGCCGGCTGGCATGCGCCCGGCGGCCAACGTGGCCCGGAAGTTTGCCAGCATCGCCCGCAGCCAGGTGCGGAAGAAGCGGCAGATGGCGGCCCGGGAGCGCAAGGTGACGCGGACCATCTTCGCCATCCTGCTGGCCTTCATCCTCACCTGGACGCCCTACAACGTCATGGTCCTGGTGAACACCTTCTGCCAGAGCTGCATCCCCGAGACCGTGTGGTCCATCGGCTACTGGCTCTGCTACGTCAACAGCACCATCAACCCGGCCTGCTACGCCCTCTGCAACGCCACCTTCAAAAAGACCTTCCGGCACCTGCTGCTCTGCCAGTATCGGAACATCGGCCCTGCCAGGTAGGCAGGCAGGGGTGCCCCTGGAGGTGCTGGTGCGTTTGCGGGCGACCATGTGGCTTGGTGGATGCCCAGGAGAGATTTGGAGGCACTTCTCAGCGTTCACGTTCTCCGAAGAGAACTGAGGTCCCCGAGACCCCGCGAGGCTCAGAAGAGGCTCTGGCTGGATTCCGAGACCAGGTCTCTGCTCAGGCCAAGGATCAGCCCCAGGAGGTGACTGAGCCGGACAGTCTGACCCATCTCTGTGGTCCTGCCTCAGGGAGCTGGGGGGCACTGGCCGACGTGGGCACCTTGCCCCACTGTAACTGGCCGATGTGGCTGGAAGAAGGGACGTCTGGAGGGGAGCAGAGCCTCCTTTGGGAAGAGCAGGAGGGCCAATGGTTGGGAAAGGAGACTCAGGAAGGGAATGGAAGGGGAGGGCCTCCTATTCTGCTGTAACCGGTGCTTTCTGCCCCCGACGCCCCCGCATGTAGGCTCCGTCCCTCCTCCTAAGTCCCACTCCAGGGGCAGAGACGCCCCTTGCTGCAGCTACTCAGCCGGGCTCTGGGTGGGTGGGTGTTGGGGGTGGACTGGCTGGAAGCCAGGCAGAGTGGGCTCTGAGCACACCCCCTATAGCACACCCAGGTCACATTCAGGATGGGCCAGTGGGGAGATCAGGGGTCCACTCAGGAACTGGGGTCTGGCCACTTCCCACCCTCGGCTGAGCTGAGCGGTCCCATCTTTCTGTGGAGTTGACCCCGCTACCTAAGGAGAGGGCTCGTCCTGGGTCACATGTAGCGAGGGTGGGACTGTGGCCAGGGGTATTCGCCCTGACTTCTTCAGAGTATGAGGGACGCTCCAGTGGGTCTCCAAGGAGAAACCCCAGGGTGCGGTGGATATGATCCCGTCTTCCGTAACGGTGGCGGGGCAGTGGGGGGGACAGGGCTGGTGAGGAGGGCAAGCAACTCCCACCTCTCTTCTCTCAAAGGATAGAACCTTCTGGATTGGCAGTGGGCTGGACCCAAAGATCTTGACGTGGGGGAAACTGAGATGGGGGAGTCAGTCCTATTGTCTCCTGGGTTCCCTCTCTACCCCTGGCCTGGCCCCTGGAGAAACAGGACTGAAGGGCTCAGGGGACTTGATCAGGGGCACCCTTTCAAGGGTCAATAGGGGGCCCTGGAAGAAATTTTCATAACCGTTCTTTCTCCATGAGCTCTGGGGGGCACTCACCGCCAAGCCCCCAACCCCCTGAAAGCCACCGTTCCCTCCAGCCCTCTCTCTCCTCCATTCTCCCACCTCCAACAAATCAAATCACCACAGCAAACTCCCTGGGAAGGGGCTTTTATATATTAAAAGAAAAGCTTTTATTGGGAACAAAAAGATATTTATTTTATTTATTTCTTAGTAATGGCATCCAGTTGGGGGAAAAAGAAAAGTGGGTACCGGGGAATCAAATCCCTTTGTGGGGGGGACTCAAGCTGCCCAGAATCCCTTGTCCCTCCCCACTTCGGGCACTTGGGGTGATGTGGGCAAGTGAAAGGGAAGAAGCAGGGCATGATTGATAAAGCTAACGAGGAGGCAGAAGGCACTGGTGGGTAACATCTTGAGCCTGTGGAGGGAGGGCGTGGGCCGGGCCTCCGGGTGAAGCCGGGGCTCCTTGGCATCGGGGCCTGGCCGCTAGTCCTTTTCTTTCCCTTTCTTGGCTGTAAAACAAGAAAGAAACACTGCATTAGCAGGGTTCGGGTGACCCAGTGGAGACCCCCGCCCCCTCCCTGCAGCACGCGCATTAGAGAAAACAAAATTCTGCCCTCTGGTGGTTCTCCATCAGCCCGCGGGAAGCCCCTGGGCCAGGGCAGCCATTGTGATGCCCTGGAACCTTCCTCACTCCCCCAGCTTAGGCTTCCGCCGGGAAATCTGAGAACCTCCCAGTTCCCGTCCTCAGTCCTAGTCCCAGCAGCCCTGGAACTCAGCCTCAGTCCCCTCACCTGAGAAGTGGGCATATGCCCCTCTGCCTGGTTGGCCTCCAGGGCTGCCGGGACTCAGGAAGGAAGCTAAGGGAGAGAGAAGTAAGGAAGTCCTTCCCAGCTAGAAACTGCCCCCACCTGCTGGGAAATGACAAAGCCAGGCCCTTCCAGGCCCACTACCCTGGATCCTAAGCCAAAGGCTCAAACAGAACTATTGACTTGGTCCTTACTTGAGCCAGGGTTTCAACCCCCCAAACTCCATCTGCAGAGCTCTCAGTACCACCCACCTAAGGTATCTCTGCCTACAGAAAGACAGTGTAGACATCAAGAAGTCACTGGCCAGTATCCACGAACGGCAGCTTCACCACTGCCTTCACAGGTGGGGGCAGCCACCCCGTGACCACCCCGCCGCTAACCTTTGGCCTTGGCTTTGGCCTTGGGGCTGCAGGGCTTGGTCACCCGGACGGTCCCCTGGCACTGGGCGTTGTGCCGCGCCTTCTTCAGGGTCCCCTGGCGGGCTCTGGTGCCTGTGCCGTCACACGCACCCCAGGTCTCAAACTTGTACTTGCAGTCGGCTGGCGGGAGAGCGCGGGTGAGCTCAGGGCTGGGCAGCCTGAAGCTGGGCCCCCTGCCCACCCTCCGCGGGCACCCCACCTCACCTCCGAATTCCTTCTTCCAGTTACAGGGCACCCGGCACCGGATGCGCTGCGTCTGGGCCCCGCAGGTGCCCTCGCGGAATCCCACGCCGCAGTCCTTGCTGCTGGGGGTGCAGGGCCCCCAGGTCCACTCGGCGCACTCGCTCCCCGGGCCTCCCTTCTTCACTTTGTCTGCAACGCAGGGGAGCAGGGCTCAGGACCCGGACTAGGACTCACCCTTCCTGGGCTCCAGCCCCCCAGCCCCCCGCCCCAGCCCCCCGCTCCCGCCGAATCACCTTTCTTTTTGGCCACCGCGGAGGTGAGCGCCAGGAGGGCGAGGAAGGCGAGGAGGAGGAAGCTTCGGCGCTGCATCCTGAGGGGAGAGGACGGGTCAGAGTCCCCCCCGGAGGCCGCCAGCGTGGACCATCCACGGCCCCCCCGCCCCCCGCTTTGCCCCAGTTCCCAGGCCAGGCCCAAAGGGTCGGGCTGCTACTGCGGTGGGGGCGGACTTGGGGGGGTCTGGCCTCTCGCCGCCAGTCCGGGCGCACAGAGGGAGGAATCTCTCCGGGGGCCTTCTGGAGCCCAGGACGCAGCTCGGACCCCCACCCAGCCTCCGGACCCCAGATGGGCAGCGGCTGGGGGGCCCGAAGCCGCCGCGCGCCCTCCGGGGCCCCGCACGCTCACTCGCTCGCTGCCCGCGCGCGCGGCTTCGCTCCCTCCCGCGCCGGGCCGTCCCGCTCCGGCCGCCGCGGCCCCTTTTGTCTCCAGAACCGGTCTGAGCCGGTCACATGGGCCCCCGCCCCCTCCTCCCCACCGAGGAAGGACCACCTCTTCCCGCCGCTCGCCCCACACCCTCGCCTCACCCGGCCTCTGCCCTCGGCTCTCAGACGCCCGGCTCTCCTGGGCCCCCCATCCTCTGATCCCGGCCTATCCCGGCCCCTGGCCTCCGTCGGGTCCTCGCACTCCATTCCCCATGCCCCAATCTGGCGCTCCCTCGGCCCCAGCCCCGGTTTGCCGTCCGCTTTTCCCTCTGGACGCCCGCTTCCCTCCACGGCCACGGAGCCTTAGGTGGAGACCAGGAGTGGGTACGGAGCCCCGGGTGTGCCACAGGTGCCGGCGTGGGTCCCGCGTTCGAGGCGGTGTGCGGCTGTGTCCGCCGAGCCCCGGGTGGGTGCAGTGATGAACCCCGTCCAGCCCCCCCTCCATCTCCCAGGACCCGCTGGACTCCCAGCGGCTCTTAGATGCTGGGGAAGGCGCACCAGCCCCCGCCTCGGCTCGCTTCACCAAGTGCGCAGGGAGATGCCCTGCTCCGTGTTGCGGAGGGGCTCGCAGGGGAACCCCAGAACAGCGCCCGGGTTGAGGGGAGGAGCGCGGAGGCCGCTGCGCCTTTCTCGGAGCGCAGGTTGGAGGGGGCGCGCGGGGGCCGGGGGTTTTGAGGAAGGAGGAGCCCGCAGGCCGGGGTTTGGTTAAGACTTAAGAGCAGGCAGGAGCCGTCTGAAAAGTTCCAGATCCGGCCCGGCAGCGGCTGCAAATGCCCACCCCTTGTGAGCCGGGACCGCGAGCATCGCCTCGTCAGGTCCCCGTAGGAGCCAGAGCGGTGGAGGCCAGGGGGGAGGGGGCTTGCCCAGCCACCGGGCCACAGGGCCCGAGAAACCAGGCCTGGCCCCTGCCCCACCTCTTTCACTTTCATTGTTATCGTCCCAGCGGGAAGCGGGAAGCAGGAAGCAATCGGCTCCTCCCCCGGCCCCTGCGAGCCCGGCAGCCTGGCCGAGGTCAGGTCCCGGGCAGGCCCTCAGACCCCACCCCCGAACGGGAATCAGGACCCCCTGAAATGGGTCTGCGTTCACGCGTCCAGTACCCCACCCTGCGGATAACCCAGCAGATCCCACTGCTTCAGGAAGACTTCCCACTCCGCCCCCCAAAAATGAAAAGCAGAAAGGAAAAAAAATACACTTTACTGAGTCACACCCAGCTGTAAACATGTCACCACGAGAGCGCCCCATCCCAACCCCCAGGCCACAGAGTCGGAGGTGAAATGACTGGGTTTGGGAGGAGGGTCACAGGGGAGGTGCTAAGCAGGGCGGCGGGCAGGCAGATGCAGCAGAAGACCCCGGGTGGGTGGGGGGTCGGGGCTGGAGAGGGGGCTGAGCTCCCAGGAGCCTCAGAGTGACAGTCCCACAGGGCTGGGAGGCTTAAGAAGCCTCTTCCTGGGGGCTCCCTCACGGGGCCTCTGCCCTCGCGGCTGCGGCCCCTGAACTCCAGGGCCCCCAATGTCACCCCCATCCCCCCTGCCCCGGGCCTGCCCAGCCCAGTCCAGTTTCCTGGTCCCCTGTGAGCCTCCCTCCGGGTTAGGCTGCGGCCTCAGGGGACGGGGTGGGACTCCCCCAGCTCCTTAGAGTCCAGCCCTAGGCCTGGGCAGCTCCTCAGAGAGCAGCACGCGGCTCCTTCCCTGGGGCCCGGGTCCCTCTGCGGCCGTCTGCCTGGAACGCAGCAGTGTGGTGGCCAGGAGGGGCTGGCCTGCCCTCACACCGCCGTCTCCTGGTCTTCCCGCTGGATCATCTGGTAATGCTGCCGATTCTCCAGGTAGGCGGCCAGTTCCGTGTCCTGCGCCTTCTCCGCCCTCTGCCGGGGAGTGTCGCCCTGGATGGGGGTGTGTGGGGGGGGTAGCTGCCGTCACCTCAGGAGCCTGTTGGCCCTGACAGACTAGAAGATAGGGCGCTTCCCTCGCGCGGAGCTGCCTTCTGCTGGCTCAGGCTTGGGGTCTGGGCTGTGCTGAAGGCCAGCTCTGAATCCCCTGAGGCCACCCTCCCCCGGACTCCCCTCTCCCACGGGCGGAGTTTGGGGAAGGGTAGCTCTGTGTCTGCCCTGTCCCTCTGCTCACCTGCTGGTCGGTCTTCATGAGCGAGGCCCCGGCCTCCACGATGTAGTGGCAGATGGTGCGCTGGCCCAGGGCCGCTGCCTGGTGCAGGCAGGTCTCCCCGCTGGGGGACAGGGGCTGGCTGTGGACCCCATCTAGTCCTCTGGGCCCTCCTGTCTCCGCAGGGGCCATCAGAAGGACAGGACGTGTGGGGTCCTGGGGCAAGGTGGGGGGGGGGGTGGCCCAGAGGGCGACAGATGTAGCCAGGAACAGTTTTACGGGCTCTGACAGGATCCACATGGAAGGGCTAAATGGAACCTGGGTGGTGTCCAGGGTAACTGGGGTCCTGCCCTGCCCTGCCCAGATACTCACTTTTCCTCCACGGCATCAAGGATCTCAGTTGGCGCTGGGGAAGAGGGAGGGGGAGGTCAGAGAGGCCCGGCAGCCTCCCCCCAGCCCCGGGAGTCCCCGGGACACAGCTCACCGTGGTCCAGCAGGTAGCGGACCACCTCCTTGCTGCCGGTGCTGACCGCGTGGTGCAGGAGCGTGCGGCTCCGCTCGTCACGGTGCATGAGGTCGCCCCCAGCTCTGTGCAGCTCCTGAAGCTGAGGGCAGGAGGCAGGGCAAAGCTGGGGCGCCTCGAAACCACCCTCCTTCCAACCACAGAAATGCCCCTCCAACTCACACAGGCCCCAGGCTCCCTAGAGGTCTACGGGGGTCTTTTGGGAGTGCAAGGGAGAGACACTGGGCATCTCTCATCCCAGGTGCCCCTGGATTCCCTGGGAGCCTTGAAGCCACTGGTTCCGCTAAAACTTGCTCCTTTCTCAGTTCTGGGGACAGACAGACTGAGCTAGGAAGCCCCTATGGAGGGACAATGATTGTGGGTGGGGCGGGGCAGGGCAGATTGGGACAATCACATGGAGACATCCCCCCCTGCCCCTCCCCCCAGAGGGCCAGGTCATGACAGATGACTGCACCTTGACCAAGGAGCTCCTGGCCCAGCCAGAGGCCCCACTCCCTGGGCCCTGCTGGGGCTGCCAAGGGGAAGAAGCCCGAGCCTGGCACTACTACCTTACAGAAATCGTTCTTCTTGGCAGCCTCGATGAGCTCTTCACCTGCTCGGAACACCAGCCTGTTACACTCTGGCATGGGAGGCCTTGGCTCATGTCAGTGCGTGAAGACGTGTGTGATGTATTATTGTGCAAAGTGGGCCTGAGGGGCACGTGTGCCGATGGCTGTGGCAAACGTGACTATAGCTATGTTGGTGTGTATGGGCTCCACCTGGCCCTGCCCCACCCCACTGAGCCTGGGTCCTCTGACCAGGGAGAAAGCAGGGGCCCTGCAGGGAGAGGCCTCACCTGTAGGGGGTGCAGCGTCCCCTGGCAGTGACCTGCAAACAGAGATGTGACAGGGTGACATCACGGGGTGACAGGGTGACATGAGATGCGACAGGGTGAGATGTGACTGGATGTGACAGGATGAGATGTGACAAGATGACATCACTAGACGACAGGGTGACATGAGATGTGACAGGGTGAGATGTGACAAGATGACATCACTAGACGACAGGGTGACATGAGATGTGACAGGGTGAGATGTGACTGGATGTAACAGGATGAGATGTGACAAGGTGACATCACGAGATGACAGGGTGACATGAGATGCGACAGGGTGAGATGTGACTGGATGTAACAGGATGAGATGTGACAAGGTGACATCACGAGATGACAGGGTGACATGAGATGCGACAGGGTGAGATGTGACTGGATGTGACAGGATGAGATGTGACAAGATGACATCACTAGACGACAGGGTGACATGAGATGTGACAGGGTGAGATGTGACTGGATGTGACAGGATGAGATGTGACAAGATGACATCACTAGACGACAGGGTGACATGAGATGTGACAGGGTGAGATGTGACAAGATGACATCACTAGACGACAGGGTGACATGAGATGTGACAGGGTGAGATGTGACTGGATGTAACAGGATGAGATGTGACAAGATGACATCACTAGACGACAGGGTGACATGAGATGTGACAGGGTGAGATGTGACAAGATGACATCACTAGACGACAGGGTGACATGAGATGTGACAGGGTGAGATGTGACAAGATGACATCACTAGACGACAGGGTGACATGAGATGTGACAGGGTGAGATGTGACAGGATATGACAGGATGAGATGTGACGGGGTGACAGGGTGAGATGTGGCAGGATGTGACAGGATGAGATGTGACGGGGTGACATGGCTACAGCACAGGCCCAGCTTGTTGCCCTCCCCAGCCCCAACCCGGGGCACCCTTGGTTCATTCAACAGTTTATTGAGTGCTTCCTGCATGTCAAGTGCTGTTCTGGGCACCAGCAACATAGCCATGAACAAGACAGGTGGAGAGCTTGCTCTCAGGGAGCTTACATTCTAGTCAGAGAGACAAAGTCAGACAAATGAGTAAACAAAGTGTTCTGGAACAGCAGGAAGTGTGGAAGAACAGGAGATTGGGTGGTGTGATTGAACAGCAACTTCAGGGGGGGCTCCCGAGAGACTGCGGAGAAGGCACACCCAAGCTGAGACGTGAGTGGAGGGTGAAGATCGGGGAGGCAGGGACAAGTCCGGAGGTGGGCAAAGGAGGCAGCAAAGATCGGACAGGTGAGTGGGGCTGCACAGCGGTGGTGGAGGAGGGTGCCGGTGCCCAGTGAAGGGAGCAGGGCAGGGCACGTGCCCACAGGGTGCTGGGGGAGAGCAGGAGGCCGGGGGGCTGCAGGGCACTCCGATGAGGGTGGGGGTGGCCAGGATGGAGCCTGGGTCTCCGGCCACAGCAGCAGGGTGGATGGTGGCCAGGGGGGCAGAGGGCTCGTGGCCTGGCTGCGGCCGGCCGGGGTTGGGGGGTTCAGTCAGCTGCCCTTTGGGGTGGGGGAGGAGGGTGGGCTGAGGCTTGGGACTCACCGGGATGTGGGGGAGCAGGGCGAGGTGGGGAGAGGGGACGTGGGGGTGGGAAGGTCAGGCCGGGCAGATGCCCCCAGCAGCTCAGGGTCCAGGATATAAATCTCGTCCTGTGCGATCTCCGTCACGTAGTTGAGGTGTTCCTACGGGGTTGGGGGGGGAAGGTTGGGCCGAGGGTCAGGGCCCTGCAGGGTGGCCGATAGCGGGTGCAGAGGGATGCCAGGCCAGCAGACCTGGAGAAGCTGCAGCCGTGAGGTGGAGCACTGACAGGGCAGCCAGGCCTGGGCCATGCCAGCCCCCACCCCACCCCCAGCCCCCTCCTCTCCCTGCCCTGGAGCCCCTGACCTTGCACAGGGGGCCCACCAGCTTGCAGCCCCTTCTCACAGCTAAGCCTTTACCGGGTGCCCGGCTTCTGACCCAAAGCGCCTTTCCTTCTGTGTCTGGCTGGAAGATGCCTGTGCTTTGAGGCTCCCCCACAACCCAACCCTGCGAGCCCAGCTCCCCGCCGTCAGCACCGTCCCTGTGCACTGCCCATCAGCGGACAAGGGCGAACACGCCCATGCAGGGCGGCCAAGCAGGACAGGTGACACGGGGCCCGGAGCCAGCGGTTTCCAGAGCAGACCTTGAGTGCGTACCTGGGCCCTGTCGATTCTGTAGAAGCGGCTGGCAGTGGTGGCTGTGGGGAAAGGGCTGGCTGAGGAAGGTGGCCCCCTGTCCAGGCCTGGGTCTCCTGCCGCCCCACCCAGGACTGCCAAGGGAGGAGGCAGGCCCCAGCCCTTTGGGGGCCACTCACCATCGAGGAAGCACCACTTGGGGGACAGTTTCTGGCACATCAGGGACTTGGCTCCAGCACCTTCGGGCTCCTGGCAAGAAAGGCAGAGG